AAGACTCCATAAGAGACCTCTCAGACCTAATATAATACATTCAGCAAAGTATCAGGATACAAAGTCAACATGTAAAAATCAGTAGCCTTTGTATATGCCACATAAACTTGTGAAAAAGAAGTTCACTGGCATGATTCATTTCAAAGTAGCTTCAACACAACACTCTAGGAACAATTTAACCAAAGAGGTGAAATACTTCCGCAACAGAAACACTAAAATACAAAAGAAAGAAGGTGAAGAACACAATAGAAGACGAGAAGATATTACATGCTCATGGATAGGCAAAATTGGTACTATAAAAATGTCTATAACACTTAAAGAGATCCACAGACTCAACAAAAATCCCTATTATGATTCTGTCTTAGTTAAGGTTTCTATTGATATGAAGAGACACCATAATAATGGCAACTCTTATAAAAGAAAGCATTTAACTGGGGCTAGCTTACAGGTTCAGAGGTTTAGTCTATTATCATCATGGCAGGAAGCATGGTGGCACACAGGTAGACATGGTGCTAGAGAATAAGCTAAGAGTTCTATACCTGAATCTGCAGGCAGCAGGAAAAACGAGTGAGCTACTGGGCCTGGCTTGAGCTTCTGAAACCTCAATGCCCACCTCCAGTCACACACTCCATCCAACAAGGCCACACCTATTCCAACAAGGCCACACCTCCTAATAGTGCCACTGTCTGGTGACTCAGCATTTAAATATACGAGTTATGGAGGGCCATTTCTATTCAAACCACCACAAATTCCAAGTGTGTTTTTCACAGAAGTAGGAAAGTATTCTAATATTCATATGGAAATAGAAAAGATCCCAGATAGCCTAAACCATCCCAAGGAAAAATAATAATGGATCTCAAATTATACTGCAGAGACATAATAACAAAAAATGTATGGCATGTGCATACTAAATAGAATAGAGAATTCAGAAATTAACCCTCACACACACAGCCACCCAATCACTGACAAAGGTGTTTAAAAAAATTAAGATCCATTCTGGCAGCATAGCACCAGTCAAAAGCCCATAGCTAGGGACATCAATGGCCATGGAGAATTTACTATTGATGCTTTGCCCCATGTACATGAAGTGAAGTGGATCTGAAATTCTCAAAGAACTAATAAAAAATAAAATAAAAGATATTGTCAAATAAAAAATTTTTAAAAAAAAAATAACATGAGAAAAAGCCTTTTCAACAAATGATACAGAAAAATACTGGATATTTATTGTTTAGGAGAATGAAACAAAAATCCATCTCTCTCTCACCTTGAACAAAACTCATCTCAGAATGAACCAAAAGCCTTAATATAAACCATGACACAATAAAAATGTCGTTGAAAATGGAAGAAATGACTCAGACATAGGCAAGTTCTTTCTGAAAAAGACTCTAGAAGGTCAGAAAAAAGCCGGAACTAACTTATAGTCACATGAAATTAAAAGGCTGCACAGCAAAGAATCTGGTCACCAGAGTGTAAAAAGAGACTACAGAATGGGAAAATCTTTGGCAACCATACTCAGACAGGGGACTGGTGTCTAGAATATTCAGACAACTACAAAATTAAACACCAAAGTTCATCCAAGTAAGAAACCTGGTTATTAGTTGAATGGATGGTTCTCAGAAAAGATATTCAAGAAGTCAATAAATATTTGGGAAAAAAATGTTCAATATCCTTCATCATCAAGGAAACACAAATTAAAATTATGCTGAAATTTTGTGAAAATGGATTGACTAAGTTGGGGGGACCCTCTCTCAATGTGGGTGACACCACTCCAGAAGCAGGGGTCCTGATGGGATAAAGGGAGAGAGGGAGAAGAGCCACTAGGAAAGCATATTCTCCACCCCCCTTTCTCTGTGTGTGTGTGTGTGTTTTCTATTCTCCATGAGGTAAGAACCTGTCCTATCATGCTGCTATGGCTCACACTGGGCCTTTAATCAATGGAGCCAAGAACTATTTAAATCATTGAAACCATGACCAAAACAAACACTTCCACCCTAAAGCTGTTTATGTCAGGCTTTTTTGTCACATTGAGAGAAAGTCTGGCTGACACCAACAATTAATCCTAGGAGTAGAACTTTTGCCATGATCTTGCTATTCATAAGCCTACAACTGGTTTGCAGGAGGTCGCTAGAAAAGTTTGAAGTTGCTGGATAGAAAAGTTCAGTTTGATGGATTCTGAAGAGTGCTTAGAAAGTCAGAATGCCAGTGGGAACACAGACAGTAAAGACTACACCGTAAATCCAGATGACAACAGAACTCTGTGGGGGAACTGGGCTGCTGGCCATTAATGCTATATTCTGGTTAAAATGTTGTCTATATTTTGTTCCTGTTGAAGACTTTGTGGGAAGCAAACTTTAAAGTTGATGGACTAATTAAACTGGTAGAGAAATTTTTAAGTTCATCCAACTGTCAGATGGATAGTGTTGGCCGCTTTTCATAAAGTTTAAGTAAAATTTGTGAGCAAAAAGCCAAGTGGCAAGGTTTGGGAAACTTGCAGTTTGCCCAGAAGAGAGTGTTCGAAGTTGGAGTCCAGAAAAGCTTGGCTGCTGAAGAGATCAGAGTCATTTAAAAGACGATGAGTGCTTTGTGCCAGGACGATAGGAAAGATGCCTTGAGTGTATTTGAGGAGTTGGCGAGATTCTCACCCTCACTGGCTCTAGGGTGTATCAGTTTAAACTCATTTGAAAGACTTCACTTTAGGAAGACAACTCCAGGGCTCCCTGCCCACACATGGCAGCCTAAGAAAGGTTTTCCCTGAATTCAGCCATCCAAACACAGAGGACGTTGTAGCCAGTGATCTGAGGAGACATGACCACTACTCAGACTGGTAGAGCTTCATGTCATCCACACCGTGCTGGTTTTGTAGGTTTTTACAAAGATCTCAAAGGAAATCCTGGGAGGCCAGGAAGTGAGTGACAGGGTTAGATTTCCTGTAGGCAACTCCTTGGACAAAAGAAATGAAGCTGTGAGGGTGACACTAAAGGATCAGTGAAGTCTCAAGAGGAACCTGCAAATACAGGTGATGAGCTCTCATAAGTTGAGGGTCCTCACTAATATAAACGCTCTCTCTCCCTCTCCCTCTCCCTCTCCCTCTCCCTCTCCCTTTCCCTCTCCCCATGTCACATCTTCCATCAAGTTAGTCACACCTGCCACTGTTCCTACCACCATGATGTTGCCTCACTAAAGGCTCATAATCATCAGAGTCAAAGATTACAGACTAAAATCCCTGAGGCCATGATTAAAAATAACCCTCCCTAAAGTAATCTATGTCGAGTATTCATTCCACCACAGTGACAGAAAGTCTGACTAATACACTATTCACTTTGGTCTTCTACTGAGGATTTCTATAGACGTGGAAGTGACCTATGTCCACATCCAAAGCTTAACCCAAGGCATAGTGTCCAGGGAGAAGAGGGAATGGAGATGGCGAAGGAAACAAAATTCCTCTGCAATTGATCACTGAGTGCAGTATGTGAAAGAGAGCAGGACGTGAGACTGATGATGTCACAGGGACATAACTTCAGGCTTGAATTCTGGTGTATGCCCTTGTTCAAAACTGAGGGTGGGACAAGAAAAGGGGACAAAGTCCTTGGGAATTAGAAGAGTGATGGCTGCATGAAAAGAAGCATAGAATGTAAAAAAGAAAGCAGAAGAGAGAAGGACCTAGCACCATCCCATAATTTAGTTAAGGCACATTCAACAAAACACCAATTTAGGACTCTGAGGGACTGGCCTGTGCCACACTACTGTAGTGCATATAGTAGCTGGGGAATTTTACAAATGTTCTCCGTGACTGCCTAGCAGGCAGCAATCTTCCACTTGGCTCTGCAGCTAGTTTCCTGGAAACAGCAGGCAATGCTCTGAAGAAACCAGTTCTTCAGCTTCAGAGAGAGAAAATTGGTCAAATCAATCATAAATAGCTAACCCAAGAAGCAGTGCTCAGGGAGAAAGCTGTGCTGTCCTGAAGAGGAGCGTGGACTTTAAATCAAAGACATGGGTATCGCGTACAATTTCTTCTACTTAATGAACTTGAACCCAAAATAAGTTACTCTCTCTTACTTCCAGGTTTTTTTTCTCATTTAATATGTAAATACTAGTGCAGGCCTTGGGATTATCATGGGTACAAGTGGGGTGCTTTCTGTGAAGGGGCTTTGTAAGGTGCTATGCAAAACAGAAGGGTTTAAAGTTTCTTCTTTAAAGTTTAAAGTTACTTCTGTTCAGAAGACTAAGAAATCTTTAATTCCATGTGGAATCTAGATGGAAAAGAATTCACCAGAAAAAAAAATAGTTTCATACTTACTAAAGCAATCTCAAGTTGTTGAACCCATTGTAAACACTTTGCAGCTTTTTCTGGACCAAGACTCTTCTTTGGAAACCAAATAACAAAAGGTACCATACCTGACTACCACTCATTATAGCCTAGGGTCAGAGATTGTCTAAGAATCTCTACTTTGGAATTTGGAGGTGTTTTTAAGAAGTCCAAGAATATTTGTTTAATAAGGGTCCCTAATTTCTCTGCAGAAATATTATCTAAAAGCATTAGTGATCAGGTACTCAAATTCTAAATCACCACCCAGAAACTCGTACTAGAGATGTCTGCCACAACTCCTAGGCTGCTCCCATGCTGCTAATTTCTTCAGCAGAGGGAATTGTGAGCAAGCGTAGGCAATCCCTTACAAAACCTATTCTTGAGAATAATATTGTTTTCTGGTCATTGGAAATGTAATAAACACAGTGGTATATAGCCTTGGGTACCAGACACGAAAATTGGGGCCTCTCCCTATCCTAAAAGTAGAGTCTAACCCTCTACCCTGAACTAGAGTTTCTCTTGTACTCAACCCATGACCTCTCACCTCTCTCTCCCTGCATCTCTTAGATCTGTTGAATCATCTACTGATGTTGATAACATCACTCAAAACTGTCTGACTCAACACTGTTGTACAATAAGCCAGCCCCAAACCCCCACTTCTTATTGATGATCTCAGCAAGGGTCTCTCACTTACCATGGCACGGCTGATCTAGGGTAACCTTAACTTCAACAGCCTGGCTCTTCTATGTCTCACATCCCTGTAGCAGGCTAGGCTGGGCATCATATTATGGCAGACCCATGACAGGACCCTAAAAGGAAAAAAAGAAACATATACAAGCACTTTTGCTGATCTCAGCTTTCATCAAGTTGCAGATTTCCTCATTGTGCTGCTGCCCATACCTTCATGCTGCCTTGCTCTTACCTCCAACCTGCACCCTTGAGCAGTATCCACTTTCTTTTAAGGTAATGGTCTGATAATGTATACATTGCTTCATAGCATATTTCCATTCTTAGTCATACAGAATCATTGTATTTCCTACTATAAAGCTTTATTCTATAGCAGGGATCAAATACTCCTTACTGAATGTTTCCATGTAGCTTCTGAGCTACAGTAGTTTTTAAATTAAAAACCACTGGGGAGAAAAGTTTTAAAAGAATACTATTTTGTGGTGCAAGAAAATTTTATAAAATTCATATTCAAGGTCTGAATATAATGAGTACTTTATTTACTTATTGAGTACAGATGTCCCCCCAGCACAGCAGTGAGTTCAGTCATTGCTGCTGAGACCACAAACCCCCAAAGCCTGCTTGATACTTTGTCCTATATGGAAAACATTTTCCAACACCTCTTCTACGGTGGGATCACCACAGACTAACAGCAAAGCAGTTGTTTTTAGGGGTATGTGTGGTTGCACTGTCAAGGTCTAAGCTGTGTGAGCTGAAACAGGACCCTGCTCAGCTTTTGATATGAGAGCTAACTACTCTAAAAAGGAAATAGTGTGTTCACCCTTGGAATTATTTTTTCACTTAATTTTCAGAAATGGAAATGTTGAGGCAAAAGCAAGAATGTTTTAAGGTTTTTTTATTCATACTTTCAGGATGAGATATGGAATCACTTAAGATATAATTTTATGCCCATTTTTAAGTAGCTGTTACTATTATATTACTTTTGATGTGTAATTTTACCAAGCTTTGCTCGGTCTCTAATTGAGATAATAGTTTGATTTTTCATTTCATATTATGGAAATATGATCAGTTATGAAGGAAATGCACCTACACTAACTTTTAATTTGTTATTATTCATCTTTAAATGCAAAATAAAACAATTTAGTACAGAACTTTATTTAATACAAAATATTGAGGCTGATTTCTCATGACTCACCATTTCCTATCTAGACCTACAGCTTACACAGCCTGAGAAGGAGAGAACTGCCCCTACTCTACATTCTGCTGTTTTCCCTGGCTTCCTCTGAGATGCCCTTTTAGACCACATCAGAAAACATCTAATTCCTTCCTTTCATCCATAGAAGAGTCCTTAAAATTCTGGGCATTTGTACTACTTCTGTGGTTTACCAAGATTTTACCAAATGCCTGATTCTGAGAGGCCAAAAAAGATTTAGCTAGATTATTCCCTATATCATATAGCCATCTCATTGCCTGATGCACTGAATCAACAAGAGAAGTAAGGCTGCCCAGCCTAGACTGGAGTGATTTTCTGAGCCAATGCTTTGCTTTCTCAAAAGGGCATTCACAATGGTGCCCCTGTCACTCAGTTTAGTGGCTCTGAAGATTAATAGCAAAATTTTATTAGAATCTCTGGCTCATGGTGGCTCTCTCTCCAGTACTTCAGGGTCAGTGCAGACTTTTCTACATTCACAGGGTTTCTGGGAGAAAAACTTGTTTAAAGGCTAATGATACATTTGTATGATATCATCTATGCAGGAAGCTCTTCTTTTGACAGTAGAAACTAGAGACTACCATCCACCTATTAACAATTTGGCACATAGCAAAATCCTTTACTCCTCTGTTCCACCCATCCCTGCTTCTGTCCACTCCCCTATATGCTCCATCCCAGTGTGCTTTAAATTCTCTGCAGTGTCCTTTGGGATATCTGCCGACATCCTCTGTATGGCTATTCTCTGAATTAGTGCCCTCCTAGTTGGCAAATAAGGAAGAGGTAGGCACAAATGTTTGCTTAGGTGTACATTATAATCCAAAAGGAAGAGAACACAGTGTGAGACAGAGGTTATGAAAGGAAATTCATTGCTAAGTCCAAGGATAATTCAAAATCACAAACAAGTTCATGAGGCGGGATTCATAGCTAGACAGAGAGTGATGGGAATGGGAGGCAGTATGAGACAGATATTCTGTCTACAGTGAAGGTGGCTGCCACTTATGGAATGCTGGGAGACCTGGGAAGTCTTAACAATAAAGAGTAAGGAAGGGCCCAAAGTTTCAACTATACCTAGTATTTAACCAACTCCAAGGATAATTTTATGAATCTCAGTGAGGAATAAAGTCTATTGCTGTCCTTGTTTACCTGGATGCTGTAACAAAATGCTATAAACCAGGTCTAATGTAATCAACAGAAATTTGTCTCTCAGAGTGTTGGGGGGTGAAAGTGCAAGATGACATGACATTATCAGCATACTCAGCATCTGCCTAAGAGATGGCATCCTCCCCTGTGTCCCAATGTGATAAAAATGACCAAAAAAAAAAGCTATGTGGGGTCTCTTTTATAATAACACTTATGAACTCCAAGAGGTCCTACCTCCTACCATCATCACCTTCCAAATTAAGATTTCTATGTCTGAATTTGGGGAAAACACAGATGTACAGTCAATGGAGATCATTCAAAATCAAAATTCAGAAATTTGTTATAAGATTTTTTTAAGGAAAAATTCCTTTACCTCCTCTAGGCCCACATGCAAATTCTGCATTATCTTATCCAATGTATTTTAAAAGGTTAAAAAGATAAGTGCCACCTTTGAATTTGTTCAACAAGTTAAGCATGTACATTAGAGCCAATTATTAGAGGCAATTGGCTTGTAATTGTCCTGTATAACAATGTGATGCACAAGTGCCCCTAAGATTTGAGTTTCTTTTAGAGCTAAATATAATAATAAATATCCTACATGCTCGCTGAAAGGCCTGTGACAAAACACTGCCCTCTCTAACTGGACATTTTTCTTAGAGTGTAACACAGGAGATGATAAAAGGGAAGAGACATTAAGCAGGTCACCATGTGTTTCAGACTTGTCTTGCTGGCCTCTGGGACTTGTGGGGCTCGTCATAATCCTGTGGACTTTACCCTGGATCAGACTCAGTCTTCACAATGATAGATGGTGGAAGTGATCTCTGAAACTCCCCTCTTACTAAGAAGCTGCTCACTGAGGGAGAATCACACCTTATTGATGGTATGGCCACTGATAGGTCTCCATTCTCCAGTAGATACCCACACCTATGCACATATGGGCAGCATTAATTGGACTTACTGGATTATCAAAAAAGAAAAAGAAAAAAGATACAGGCATGAAGTTGGAAGGGGAATATGTTGGAGGGTAGCAGAGAGCATGAGAGGGGGAATGAGTAGGTGTGATATTTCCTCGTATGTGTATATGTATGTATATATATTCTCAAGAATTAAAAAAAAACTATTTTTAAAAATTCAAAACAGGTAAAACTGTGATATCTGTCAAAGTCATCATAAATGATCCATATTTTCCCTCTCCCCTTTCCTCTCCTCTCCTCCTTCCTACAAACTAATAATGAAATAATATAACTGTTGACAAATATATTTTTATTGTGTGATCCTTAGACTAAGGTGGCATCACTGCCATGGATTCTTCTGTAAACAAAGCAAAGCCCACCTTGATGACCAAAGTAAGACTTTGTCAGAAACTGCCAACTGATCATCTCACTAGAACTTTACCCACTTCAACCAAATTCTTTCTTCTTGCTTTGTATCCTCTAAAAGTTTTTAGAGGGAATGAGAGGTCCTTGAGAGCTTGCAGCATAGTAACTAATGAATTAACATGCGTGTTGCATGCATATGTGAAATTTCACAATGGAACCCATTATTCTGTATATTAATATGTACTAATAAAAATAAATTTATAATAAAACAAATGTTATAACAATAAAATAATAATCTGAAAGAAAAACATATACAAACTGTAAATTTGTTTTTCCGAGTAGTTGTGCAGTGTTTGGAAGGAAAAAATAAACAATTCCAAAGATTACTTGAATTCCACAATTTGGAAAAAGGAGAACCATCACATTAAGAAAAGCTCACTGATTAACATGCAGAGAAGCCAATTTATGGTGTTGACTTTAATATAACTACAATATAATCTCAAAAACAAAATAAATGGTTTTTAAAAGCCAATACAGTGGTGCTGGGTTAGGAGGCAACATTAAGACTCTAACATTTTGCTTAAGGAAAGGGTTTGGTAGAAAGCCAACCAACAGAGATACAGAGAGCATTCTCTTCTCTGTACAGTGATATTTTATTTGTGCTGAAATGTGATTTTATTTGTATGTTAATAAATAAAGTTGCCTGGGGGTCAGAGCTAATAGCAAGCCATTTAGCAGAAGTCTGGCAGTGGTAGCACATGCCCTTAATCCCGATCACATGACAGGCAGAATCTCTGTGTATTCAAGGACACAGCCAGCATGGAGACACATGCCTTTAATCTCAATACCAACCATAGAGACCTGGAGCTCTGTATAGACAGGCAGTGATGAGGAGGTCATGTGGTTGGATTTACAATCAATGAGAAGGCAGAACAGAAAGTCAATAAAAATACAGACACACCGGAAGTAGGTCTCTCTCTCAGGGGAAGGGCGGCGGCAGCAGCAGGTGGTAAGAAAGTGGTCTCAGCTCTTGGCTATTGCTCTCTGATCTCTGGGCTTTTAATTCTGCATTTGGCTCTTTGTTTCTTATTTAATAAGACCATTCAGAATTACTGAGGCTGCAATGGCTTGTAAGATTTCCTGGGGCCACTTGGTTGCTGAGAGATGATTCTAGTATGTGAACACAGACCCTCTAGCTGCACAGCACCATGTGTTGCTACATGACCACATATACACTGTGCAGTAGCCAAGCAAGAGGCTTAGTCATTGGTGGAGGCAGATACAGAGATCTATGGCCAGGTTCCAGGCTGGGCTCCAGGAATCCAATTGATAAGAAAGAGAGAAGAAATACTGCAGGTGAGGGACATCAAGAAAAAATACAATCTGACAACAAAAAATCAAATGGAAAAGTAATGATTCAAAGCTGGAGACATAGTTCAGCAGTTAAGATCTCACACTGCTTTTGTAGATGACCTGTGTGCAAACGTCCAAAGCAGGAAACTCACAACATGCTGTAACTTCATCTCCAAGGAATCCATTGTCCTCTTCTGGTATCTGGGGGTGTCTGTACTCATGCACTCACACCTTCATACTGACATACACACACATAACCAAAAACAAAGATAAATCAAACTATTACTTCTCAAAAGAAAAGTAATAATTCATAAAGTAAGGGTTTAAAGAGGAAAAAAAGAGGACATGATTATATTTTCCTTCAAAGTATAGCTCTTATATAAACAAATCAAAATTTGACAGGTCAACAAGTATGAAGAAATGTCAACTAGAAAAATAACTAGATTTTCAATTGTCCAAGATTAATTTTAAAATTATGATAAATTCATTGACTTTAAACAAAATGAATGATTTCTTTAGAATGATAAAGACAAGATTTCCTTTAAGATAGCACAAGGTCTAAGAGTTTTTAAGGGCAAACTCCAAGTTATAAACATCTGAGTCTTTCAATGTCACTCAGCTCTTCCAGAACACAGGAACACACCAGGGGGGAATAAAACACTCTTTAACTCACCCTATGAGGACAGAGTAACTCAATGCACCTTGAATTGAAATTGGAACAGGACAAGGATGGCAAAGAGAATAAGGAGGGATGTTACAACATAGAAAGTGTAACTGTTCAAAGTGAAATGCCAGCAAATACAAGTTGGGAATACATGAATATGGATCATTCCAGATAAGGAACTAAAGGAGTGATTATAAATATGTTTAAAGAATTATTTAAATCCTCTTGAACACAAACAGCTGAATGTAATAAAGAAGCCAATACAAGATACAAATAAAGAATTTCATACAGAGAAATCCAGAAGGAAAACCAACTGAAGGACTGAAGGATGGTTCAGCTGGTAAGAAGAAGAAACCAAGTTTGGTTCCAGCATCAGAAAACTTATGACCACCTGTAACTCCAACTCCAAGAGGTTTGACATCCTCCTCTGGCCTCCATAGCTACCCAAATATGAATATGCATATAAATACACACAGAGACACTCACCCACACATAATTAAAAACAAAAAAATCTTCACTAATAGTTCCTCAGTTAGAGAGAGAACGTCATGTCCATCTGCCCCTACATGCTCAGATTTTCTCTTACTTGGTCTTCTGAATGTCTTTTGCATGCTGATACAACCATTATATGTTCTTACGTGTAACTGCCCTGTTGTGTCTAGAAACACTGCTTGATTGTAGTCATCCATCACTCCTGGCTCTTTCAATCTTTCTGCCTCCTCTTCCAATATGATCCCTAAGCCTAGAAAAGGAAAATTTGGTTTTCTTTAACAGTGTGGCCTCAGGTAAGTTGACCACACTCTGTTGATGGCTATTAAACTGGGTGGATCTATAAAAGAAAATGAAGACACTAAGCCTATCAAGTACAACATGGGAGGTGGATTTGGGAGGAACTGGGATGATTATGATCAAAATACAATGTATGAACACCCCATTTATGAATTATATGTCAAAAAAGAATATTTTTTAAGTGAAGCAACCTAGCATTAGGAAAAACACTCTTAAAGTTCTCCCAAATGTTCAGCTAGTAAAGCTCAGCTTTGAAATTTGAATACATTCCAATGTCTCATCCCTGATGAGGTCTCTTCAAGGATCGCCAACTTTTGGCTGGGTTTGCAATGACAAGATACATGTCTTCATTGACAGCACCACCCAGGCATCAGGCTCTTCTGTGCACCTATCACCTGGGCTTTTGCTCTGATGAGTTCTACAGTTTGTTATGCAGATGAAATGAGATCATGAAAATGGCTTGGAAAGATGGAAGTCTAAAAATGGAGGAAGTGGTTCCTTGTCATTCCCCCAAAAAAGCTTTAGCAAGCAGCTCCCCAGGGAAGGCAGATTCCTTCCTACAAAATGGAAAGAATAAACCCACCTAGTATTTTCAGCCTAATTCCAATGGTGTTTTGCTATAACTAAGCTTTGAAGCTGATAAACCAGTACATTATTTGAATATTTCTGTCAACCCTTTAAAGTGAAAAAAAAAAAAAAAAATGAAGCAGCAGCCTTTACCAGATGACTGAATGTTTTCCAAGTAACATATCTCATGGATACAGGACAGGAAGTAATTTGAAATACCAAAGTATATTTCTAAAAAGCCATAATACTAATGCAAAGAAACAGAGCTTTTAAAGTTAAAAAAAAATAATCTTGGTCACACTGTGAGCTTACTTAGCATTTCTTTTCAAGAAAAAAAAAATCCTTTGTGCTGACAATGGATTTTAGGTGGCAAGGCCTTAAGCAGAGAAACAGCCTAAAACAAAGAGGGGAAGTACCAGGAGAACCAGGCTAGAGCAATTGTAATTTATATTACAATATAATTTAAAATGAGGGCTGATGATCTCACCTCCAGGGTCAGCTGTCACATCCTGAAGGATCTGGCCATCTGCAATGCTCTATGAGTTCCTAACACAAGCAGGAGCCAAGCTCTCCAATTATGAATGGAATATTAAAAACTACTGTTAAGATTCTCCAAGTCATTTCAGGTATTGTTTTCCCGCTCATAAATTACAGAGTGGGAGGTAGTACAGCATTCTCTGTACTGACCTCTTCTTGACAAGCAGCTTGAGTTCTGAGTCCCATCCACCTACTAAGAGACAACCAATACTAACTTGGTTTCTACCATACTAAACCCCACTCCCTGTCTCCTTAGCCTTCCTTTGACTTCCTGTCTGAAGAAGCTTGTGGCTGTGCAAAGAACATGTCACTTGTTCTAACCCACACCTGACCACTGCCCTTCCCTCTTTCTTAGAGCTCTGCCAATCGCTACTGCTCCCTTGAGAGGCAGATGTAAGTGTGTGTTTCTCAAGCTCTGAGAGACATTGGTGGAAATACAATCAGGAGAGATGAGGCCTCTGCTTTGTAGCTTCCATGAAAAGATGGAATCTTAACATAAATAGTTGCTAACTAACAGACACAGCAGTTTAATCAACTTCCCCAGCTCTAATAAATTCCCACTCACTCACCTCCTTTCTCCGTTACTCTCCCTTCAAAATGCCCACCCATTTCCACACATATTAGAATTGGCTCCTTCCCTGTTACTCCTTGTTAAGAGAACAAGAATAATTTGTACCACTAACGCCTGGCTTCATTTATCACAGCCAACACACACACACACACACACACACACACACACACAATGTGATCAAATCCAGTGAGCTTTCCTCTTCATTGTTTCGCAGAATTAACCCATTGCCACCTCTTCCTTCCTCACTTTGCCCCTACTAGCAGCAGTAGGTACTATTATTCCCATTTAACAATTGAAAACACTGGGCTTAGCATGTACCTACCTACAACTTTCCCTAAGAAATTTACAAATGGTGAAACGTGGTGTGACCCAAGCTTGAGTCCTTAACCACATATGACATGTTGACAGGCATCCAAATATTTTTTCATTAATTTATTTTATTTATGTCTATTTTGACCTGAATGTATATATGCATACCATGTGTGTGCCTGGCACCAAATGGAGGTCAGAGAAGGGTGTGATTTCCCCAGGAACTGGAGTTTATGGATAGTTGTGAATCAATATGTAGATGCTGGAAAACAAACACAGGATCTCTTGTAAAAGCAACAAGTGCTCTTAATCTTAATCAAAGAGGCATCTATCCAGCCCAGAATCATTTGTTTTTGAGGCATGGTCTCACTATATAGCCCAGACTAGCCTCAAACTAGCAACGACAGACACACTACTCTAAGGTCATCTCATCAATGAGAGACAAATTCATACCTACAAGTCATCACAAGTAGTTCTTGTCTGAGTGTTTATCTGCCCACATTCTAATGGCAAATTTGATGAAATTTTTTCTCAGTAAATATCACTATAGATATGCTTATTTTAGTAATTAAGGAAACAAATAGTGAACAGTACTCAAAGGTAAACCAAATCACATTGTAGCCAATTCTTTAAGAAAGGAAGTTGAGTCCAAGTAGAGAGCTCTTGGTTACTATTCTTGCACATTAGAGTTGCCATGCCATGCTGGTGATTGATGTTGTTCATAAGCATCACAACTGAGTAGTACTGTTCATGGTCTCCTTCCTTTGAAAGTCCCAATGAACACATCTACAAAAACTCCCTTACCTAAGGATCTGGGGACATTGTGAAACAGAAGGCAGAAAGATTGTAAGAGCCAGAGGATTGGGAAGTTTGTTGTGAGAGTATGTCTCTTAGTATTTATATCAGAAGATATACCCAAAAAGTTTCATTAACATGACTGCCCAAACATAACACCAAAAGACATGTCAAACTTGTTGGTGGAAAGTCTACAAGGTTCAACACTATACACACACACACACACACACACACACAAAAAAAAAAAAAAAAAAAAAAAAAAAACCACTACAGGCAACTGAGGAACGCTGGGAGCAGGAGAGGTAATCCTCCTCAGGGTAGAGCACACCAATTGGTTAGCCAGTGCCAAACTTCAGCCCTAGAAACAAAAATACAAGTAGCATTACATGGACTGAACAAGTTATATTTGGAAATATACATATATTTACATATACATAGAGACATGCAATAACAATTAGTGAAAAAAAAGGCCTGAGTTTGAAGGAGATATGGAGGGGTATATGGGAGGTTTGGGAGGGAAGAAAGGAAAAGAAGTGCTGTAATTACAGTCTCAAAGAATGATAAAGTCAGTATAGTCCTCAAAAAAAGAAAAGAAATTGATAAATTCTAAAAACAAGCTTCTTATTTTAAAAATAAAGATGAAAGACAAAGTACAGAGCACATGGTACAAGTACTCCATTCTCCCCATTATCTCTGGACACATCTAGACCTTATGCTAACCATGTGGGGGTGGGGTAGCATAGGTGTCCCTACTTCTTCCTGAGCAGATCATGAGATTAGCCAGGACAGAAGCTAGTGATTCCATGACCTGTACCCAGTGGCATGTTCATTCACTTCACTATGTTGCCCTGGATTTTATGGTGGGTGATTTGGGCCCAGGGTCCACATTGACACCAGAACCAGTTTCCATATATCTCTTGGAGCTAAGCAGTTCTGATTCTAAAGTAGCTGGACATACTCTACTGTGATTCCTTCAAGGATAGCCTGGCAGTTACTACAGGATTGTAGCATTGACTTGGGAGCTAAATTCTACAGGACCAGAGAAGGGATCGCAGCTGGTGTTCTCATATTTGCCATATATACAAAGCTCTCTCTGCCAGCAGTTATCAGTCTCTAGTAAAAGAGCTGAGCTCCCTCCATAAGATAATTCATACCTATTATACAGCTTTACCATATCCTGTCCCTTGAAGTGACGTGTCTAGAATCATCATCATCATCCAGTCAGTGACAAAAGTTGATCCCACATTTTGAGCTGTGTCTATAGTCAGCAACTTAGAATTCCACTATTAGACCATAATTTAATAAGTCAATTATGAAGCAATTTAGGTACTAATAGACTTCAGCCTATTTAAGAAATAATCCAGAAAATGGGACCTGTGTTTGCACATTATTTATATTCTGAAGTTAAAGATAATTTGCAAAATGAAAAAGTGAATACCTGTATTTGATGTTCTCACAACAACCATGATGCATGTCTTGTTGAGCTAACAAGTTCTGATTTTAAAGTAGTTGGACCTATTGTACTATGTTTCCTTCAAGGATGGCCTGGCAGAGTATGAGGAGTCACTACAGGGCTGAAGTATTGACTTGGGAGGTAAATTTCACAAGTCCAGAGATTGGAATACCAACAGTCCTCCTTCAGTCACCCCCTTCCCTTGTTCTTTTGGTCAAAACAAGACTAAGCTCCATAGGAAGAACAAATTGGCCTGTGTTAATCTTTATCTGTCCTTTAAAAACTTTAGTTTTTCTAGCTAAGAGCTTTATGAAACTCTTCTTCCTACAAATAGACCTACACATTGTAAAGCACAGACCTATATCTGCCCAGACCACACAATTAAGAATTCTTAGCTCTGGTATTGGCATAAAAACTGACATGTGGACCAAAGGAATCGAATTGAAGACCCTGACATTAACCCACATACCTATGAACATATAATTTTTGACAAAGAAGCCAAAAGTGTACAATGGAAAAAAGAAAGCATCTTCAACAAATGGTGCTGGCATAACTATTGGGGAAAATTATAAAGGCCACTCCACGTAGTTAAAAGTAAGATTTATTTAGTGGATGACTCACAAATGAAAGAATGGATAGGTCGCGGG